CCGCTGCGCTTGGTGTATATACCTTTGAGGCAAATATGCATTTGCACCACTGTGCAACGAAGACAGGGCGTTGTGCCGGCATCTGTTGCTTCCCTTACTTTCTGACCAGATGCGTGCCACCAGACGCCGCAGTGACAGGCGTCTGTGGTATCTCCATTAGTCAAAAAGTTTGCAGGTTCTCCATATGCTGCTCTCTTTTTACGGGCTACAACGCAACTGAGCCGCTCGAATTCAGCTTCCTCGATGATACGAATAAATAGCAAGCAGTGTACAAGCCTGCGAAGAAGGAACCTTTATGCGTTACACTCAGACCCATGCACATACACGATTGGAAAATGAAATGAACCAGATTTAGGCGGGCCCCAATGCAAATACTGGAAGCATTGCAAAGCGCGCAGTCGCCAGCGAAATGGCCCCCGGGAGCTTGGGAACCGCAGGTTAGCGCCGTTTGTAGGATTTAGTTATTACATCGTACGTACCAAGCTATATTACTCACGGTAACGTCCTTTGTGGATTTTTAGATTGATGCAGATGACATGCAAGAATCGCTGCAGCAGTGAGCAATGCTCCAGGGCCAGAAAAAAATTACTGTGTTTCTCAAGCAGTACACAGGACTCACGCTTCCGGTGGAAGAATGATCGAACTCACTCCCTTCGTGAATTCGCGACAACTAACCATATGCACATTCCGCACGCGTGCTCGTGGAAGCAACGTTCTAGCCAGTATGCTTGTATATGGTATGCTATGCGGAATGCTGATTCAACAATTCCAGAAACTACCGGCCAGTGTTGCTTGGTACCCTAGCACATATGATAAATCGAACGCATATTGACGGGAGATTCGCGTAATGTATACACCTAACACTAATAGCGCGAGCGATGGCCTTCAGCAAATAAAGGTATGAAGAACCTTTTCACGGTCTCCAAACGCAGAAAGCCTCGATAACTGAGAACAGCGCATATGGTTTGTTGGTATAGCAAAAGTAAGTCCGGAGAGGTTCTCAACTGTACAACTTCGATTGGCGTACTTGGCCCAGAGTTTTGGGGAGAGATTATTTTAATACATACAAAGCAAACTGCTGACCGGCATATACTATTCTGCAGCCTGGTTCTTTCGGCCTCCGTCTTGACAGCCTTCGAAATTGAGGACCTTTGAAATGGTTTTAACTTGACAGTCGGGTTTGCATGGTTCGCTGCCGATTCCAAGAGGCATCCTTACGGGACTGCTCAGAGGTGTGTAGCCAATCCCCATGTACGTGTCGTGGTTGCTTCAACCTTCATTTTTCCGTGTACCTACCAACTGAAGAGTTTTGCAGGAGGTCTTTCTGATGCGTGCGTAGAAGGTGGGGGCCGGCACTTACTATTTTTCAGCCTGCGCGTGTTGGCGTCCCGCTTGCCAACATTCGGAATCGAAGAATTCCGACGGGGCTGCTGCCTTCAGCTTAACAGCGAAGCTGGACTGGCGCACTGCAGAAGCGAGGAGATGCCGGCAGGCCACTGCTAACCTCAGTATATCTGGCTGCTTCAATATACAATTGCGGGCACGCACCAACTGCAGAGACTGACCGTAGGTTTTTCTGATACATTCACCAGCAAGCTGGTGAACGGCATATACTATTAAGCTGTCTGCGTGTTTCAGCTCCCTGCCAGCCAACACTCGAAATCGCAAACGTTTGAGGGGATGCTTTTGGCACATCAGGGAGGCTGGTATGGCACACGCTTGATGCGAGGAAACACTTATAAGCAACTGCTAAGAGTTTTGCAAACACCAATATGTGCGGTTGCTTCGATTAGTACTATTCCAGGGGCGGAGTCGATGTAAATCCTTCACTACCTGCTGCGTATTCCTGCACAGCCATTGACACAGGCATAGACGATACAGGAGGCTGAAAGAACGGGCTGCAGCTGACAAGATCCCCACATAACCAACCTGTGATTGTCTTTCAAGAAAACATCTGTGGGCACGGCATGCCGCAAACATTCCTGCTGTTAAGTGCAGTTGTACCATGTGGTGAGGAATGTTTGCGGCATGCCGTGCCCACAGAACGGCCCTAAAACCATCGAAAATCCCTTCCTAACCAAGCACTACCTGTCATCCACCATCATTCTGATGCATGCAAGTCCGTGCAAAGCAGATGCATTTATATATCCACGTAGCCTGTCAGTCGGTTTTCCCTTCCATGTGTCTCACGTCCTGCTCGTACGACAGCTTTTTTCCTAATGGCTCTAATTTATTTTTCACGGTTCACGTTCGATCCCCGAAATGAGTACCTACCTGGCTAGGGTGCTAAAAACCAATATCGTCAAAGGTTCAAGGAGAAGGCCTCCAGACACCCAAATGGAGTATCTACCAGCAAGAGCATTTATGCTATGAGGTTTGCAGTGGCTGCAGTACCAGTAACCGCCATTAAACATTGTACAACTGGCTGCCTCGAACTCACATCCTGTTGCAGCAGCGGCGAAGGTGGTGATGAACCTGAGGCGACCCGGGTAGTGCATACGAAGACCATTTACAGCCGCTCATATCCTAATGTTCCGGGATCGCTAGCCCAGGCTTCCGCCAAGAGAGCATAGCATTTCAGAACACAGCAAGAGATAATTGTTGATGGAGGTGCGTACACTGTTCAAATAGCACATGATTGCCCGTTTGAGACAGTGTTAAATCCGCGTAAGAATGCACGGTGTACCCAACCCTTGGTGGCAGCCGCAAGTCAAGCTAGCTGTGTCTCACAATCTTGTACAATCCACAGATAATATTTGATGGCCCATTAGTTTTCACGTGTCTTAAATTCTGGACATCTATCATACTTAGTCACTTGGGTTTTTATTCCTAGTAGTACAGCAGGGCTGGTACTACGCAAAGACATGCTACTTCCAACTGATATCACAACAAAGCACCTCGCAGTAGTAATGCAGGCATTACTGCTTGCAACGGCTTGGCGTGTAGCAATGATTCAAATAATGTGGAGACCTGCAATGTTTTGCGATCATCTTCAAATACGTTCCGATGCTTACTACCACAAAATAGCGGCCTTTTTGATATTGCCTGCGAATACTACTTACACGCTGACGTTGCATACTGACAAAATTGCTTCCGATGCTTGCTACCGCCAGCAGGAATCGCGGTGGCTCCAAATTAATAAAGTGCCAACTGTCTGGGGTTATATAAAATAGTAGAATTTAAAGTAGAAAAAAAATTATCTTCTAATAATATTATTGCACCTATATACAAAAATACTAAATATGGAAAATAATTAATAGCTTCAAAAAAAGGTATACAAATTATCCCACTAGAGCTACAGAGCTACAGCGGCAATGGCGGCGAAAGAGAAGAGCATCAGTGACTTCATATAAGGAGCAGCAGAAAACGTGTGGTCAAGAGTCCTCCGTTCTGCATGGCATTCATTCCCGAGCAATTTTTGCCTGAGAACTAGCGCATGACCATTTCCTTATTAACTTTTTATCGGGCACCGGATACACCAAATTCGCATGTAGGAGACCAGCGATTGGAGGATGATCGTTGCGCCTACACGTTGGCTTATCCCGTGTGCCTGCTCACTTTCTTTTTAGCATTAAATCAATGCACAATAGCTCAGATTGAGCAGACGACGTATACGTGGAGCACTCTAAGCCAGCTCGTCAACAAGCCGAATCGAAAGGACACACATTCACATGCCACTTAACAGGGGTTGCACGCACTTGGCGAATAGACAAGAAGTGCAGTAAGACGTTTTCTCTCGCCGCCCTTGTACAGGGAGCAGGACTTTGGGTCCGCGCACATTAGATATGTCATCGCTAGACACGGGGCGAGGCTCCCAGCCACCTAGGCAAAGTGTCTGCAGTTAAAGTTCGTAGCAGGGGCTACACCGGCCTCCGCAAACGTATTCTCTGTGACCAGTGTCAAATTACATTGCTACCTAGCCCAGTCTAAAAGGCTACAGTCTCAAAACCAACAAATCACCATGCCGAATGTCACAAGACGTAAAAGCAAAGCGCCAGAGCCGTCAATAGATAAACTGCTTTCATAAGACAACGCGTCCACGGGAACAGCCGCGGCCATCTAAGGAATCAAACCCAAGTTCACCAATGGCATGTGGGACGCGCTTGCTTAATGGTGCCAAGACAGTGTATCCGGCAGATGCCACAAGCATGCGAAGCAATGAGCATAGTACCATCTTCTTTGCCCAGGCAATATATGCTGAGTATTCGACTTAGTGTGCCTCTTGCTCCAATTCCTCTGAATATAAGAAGGCGAGCCATGACGAAATAACATATGCTGAGTATTCGACTTGTTATTTCGTCATGGATCGCCTTCTTACATTCAGAGTAATATTAGCATGAGGCACACAGAACTTGCTACATTACAGTGGAGCTTACTCTTTGTAGAGCCACCTTTGTCTCTCGCGTCCATTGCTTCAGGCGCTTCACACTACAAAGACGCGTCAACCCGAAACAAAGCTGGAGCATTTCACGTCCTCAGCTCCGGACATTGAATAAGGAGAAAGCACATATAGGGAAAGACATAGAACAACCAGGAGAGAACGTTCCACAGCTTCCACGATAACGCCTGCAGTAGCGTCTAACAAGGTGAAGCAAAAAGTGTTTAGCCGTTGTTTGCTTGTGCCACGACACTCGTGCGTTGTTCTGCCACTCCTAAAAAATGGCAGAGAGACCTTTGCCGACCAAACACTACTCGTAGAAGCTAAACCCAACAGTACCAAGCAACCTGTTTCCTGTCTTCAACAAAACACGCATTCAGGTCTAACTCCAAGCACAACACGTTCTTGTCGCATTCCAAATCTGCTTTGATGTGTCTCCACACTGAGCAGGCAGTGATGGTTTCCATGCTTGGTGCATGTGGAAACAGAGGTAGGCCTCCAGGACTGAGGCGCACGTTATAGAAGATGATAGGGTTGCCGCAGACAGTGTGTTCGAAGCAGAGCAGTTGACGAGCCGTTATATTGAGCACCGCATGCCCACGCAGAAACACGACACCACGTGGGTATATGCTTTGAGAGGGGACCCTGCCACGACTGCCTGTATGCCAAGTGACTCGAGTGTTATACAGGTGACACACTGGATTGCCATCCGCAAACGGTTCAGCCCAATCTGTCGCCTGTCGAGCGCCTCATAGAGGCTGCCTGCCCAATCAAGAAGTGCGAACACGAGCGTCCCGTATACGCGCTGGGCATCGCATTTTGTTGGAGGTCAACTGTTTATCCGCTTACAAGGGACCAAGCACAATTTCAAGAAAAATCCAGCCCTTTGAGTATATCTACCTGCAACTAGGCCCTAGTGCCAGATATGGCATCGACATATTATTAATTTTGCGCGGCAGGCAGTCTACCCTAAAAATCCTTGTGGACTTGCAATGTTTTGTCCTTTGCTGCTAGACGCACATCCTTCACAATAACACGACAAAGGAGCTTGGTTCTCCCAGGTTAACATCTAAATTAACAGATTCTTTCATGTCTGCCAGCGTCGACAATTCTCAGAAAGACTCATATATGGTATGGGTGCGAGTCGTAAACCACTGACATGCGGACGTAATTTGTTGAATACGGCATGGTTCCTTGTCTCGAAACAACAAATATACAAGGAACCTACAGGCTGCACAGCCAGCAGACCTTACATGGTCGTTGCAACATATTTGGAGGTGGGTTCGAGGCTGGCTGGCAGCGATGGCAGACTTGGATGCCTAGTCGACTTCTTTAGAGACTCCAACAGGGAACCACCTGATCAGAATGTGCTGTTGTAGCAAGCAGTGTTTGCCCCAACTTCCACTGCTGAAAGTCCCTACACAGTACTCAAGGCATGATATGTATGCTGTCAGACTCTGCAGTGCAAGACCACTTCATGGGCTATCTTGCACGGCTAAATAGAACAGCGCAGTTACACTGTAAGCGTGTTGCAGGTCATTCCTCAATCACCGGGAGCATTTTGCACATCGAGCAGCACGCAGTTAACCTGAAACCTCCGCGCTAGGCCTGCCTGCTGGCATTTTCCAATTCTTCAAACTTTCAACAGCGCGAAGTCACTTCCCACTAGTGCACTGATTTTAAAACCTCATGGTGATTATCCGAAACTCCCATGTGGCTTGCTAATGCTTCCAACATCTGAGGTGAGTGAAAGCCGTGGAATGACAGGGCGCATTGATTTTATAAAGGACAACACTGGCAGAGACATGACTGTTCGGCACGAATGCACCTGACATGCGTGACAGGTGCGTGGCAGCCAGTATCAAGGGGCTCACTAGCTGATCAAGCACGGAAAAAGGCTTCGCCTCCATGTAGCGATGCATGGCCGGTAACGCTGGGCCATTCCTCTGATTCCATCCGCAGAACATATCCTAATTCTGCCCGGTAAACGTACTGTCTGACATACGTTAACCGAGAACAGCACGCTCGAAGACCAGTGTTGGGTTTGGCCCTGGACGTCCCGTCCGTTTTGGCCACCACCTACACTTGCCAAAAACTTGCAAACCACAACTCACCAGAATAGCTCAGTCAAAGCGATGAATAGCTCTTACGTTGTTAGCGTTCTGCAGGAATAGTGGAGGTTCCTATGTTGTGCGGCAATCACGTGGTATTACATTGTAGAATAAGAAACGCCGACACATTCGCAGGGGGCCGATTCTCAAGAATAAACTTATACTACGAACATTTTGAAATCGGGCAATTGCGGCGTTTCTTGTATTGTGCGTACCCTCTGTACGTTACAAAGGCTAATCACCTACGGAGCTCCAGTCTCACGGCCATATGGAGATGTTGCGGTTTCCCGTCACCAGTGGCCACAGTATACCCACCGGCTGAAGGCCAAAATAACACCCTACCCTCTGTCTGTGTTATGCAAGGCGTCTGTAGAAATCACTACACGGGGAGAATCTGCTGGTAGGCAACAACACTATACTTCTTCAAAGATGGCTGGAAACCATACGGGCCTGCTGACGTTCTGCAGACGGTGTTCGGGTCAGTAGCAGCTGCCATGAATCCATAGCAAGCAAACGAACTTCACGTTATACGTACAGAAATAGCTCCTCTTGCTTCATGTAAATTTTGTTTTGAGGTTGATAAGTAGCGCGCCACGCACTAGCTTTGTTGCATAACCCGTTACACCGCATACCAATGTGCACGTATTGCTTTGATGTAGATGCAGGACGCTAGACAAGAGTATGCGTTGAGTAGACATTTCTGCATGTGTGGCAGTTGGAGGCCTGGTTAGAATTGGTTGGCAGCGGAGGGTATATTCTAATTACGAACCACGGAACAGCCCTGCATACTATCTTTATTTGCCATTATATAGAGCTAGAGCTGCTCTAACATTAGGAATATCGCATCCGCCGTTTCCTTTCCATTTCCAGTATTCACACGGACTCTTCGATGCCTGGGCTAGTCGTCAGCAAAACGGGAGCATCCACATTGAAGGAACTGGGGTCAATTTTGTTGCTCAAGCGACGAACTTGCTGAACAGCCAATCCTTTCCTTCCATCGCAGGGGTGTTGCTTTCCGGCTCGAAAAAAGCGGCATCAAGGCCCTTGCTAATGCGATCAGTATGTGACAGTTTGTACGATTTAGCTGAAACACTTTCCTGTAAACTGTCATCCAACCATTGGCATAGGTGTGCCAAAAATGACAAACTTTCTATATAAAATCATTTCGGTCTGTGAAAAAGAATCTCCAGAGATGACGGATCATTGCAAAGACTTACCACAGTATATTGCACCCAGATGCATAGTTGCAATCCTCACGAACTGCACGGCCAATGTTGTTCATTTGCAGCTCAGCAAGTTTTGCAGAAAGCGGCTTCATGCAAATCCTAATTGCCAGCCACTACGAGTAACGCCCCCACGCGAGCCCGTGAGCGCTGGGAGTCGGCAATGTGCTGCTGGCCGAGGGCGCATGCGCTGGGTAACGGCGACGTGCAATTTCGCGTCTGCGCTGCAGTCACACTACCAAACGTGTAAACCCGTGCAGCCGTGTTTATACTGTGCATTCATAATTGATTGCAGTCAAATAGAGGTTGGCGAAGTCAACCCTCTGATTAAGCTAAAGGCCAACTGTACCGCAAACCTGAGGTGTAGCAAAACATTAGCAAATCCAGCTGTAGCATACGCCCTCAATGCTGCAAGCCGACGTAGTCCAAAACAGCGCAGAGGAATTTCGCTCACAAGCAACCACTAGGTACAGATGGCCTATATACACACGGACAATATATACTAGTGACTCCCTGCCTCATCCTGCACCACCTGCCGCACCCTGCACCACCTGCCGCACGTGAAAGAGTGGATTACGCGTCCATATACAAGGCCATTCAAATTCCACAGTGACGACTGCTTGCCATATATTGGTAGAGAGCCTACAACTGCTCTACACAAACAATCGCCAGCTGCATGCCGTAACAGCTCTTCAACACCATCATACAAATACGAAAGTGATGGTCTATGTATTCACGCTCACCGAAGCTCACCAGCCACTTCTAACCACCCCCACCCCAGAGTACAATCCCTCCGAAGGTAATGCATTCGAAGGGTTTGTACAACATTCACGCCGGTAAAATCTGCGTGGATATGAGCCTGCCCAGCGAGCGAAGTGGAAACGTCTAGTGGCACATTGGGAAGGGGGATAAGGCTGTTCCTCGCAAATCCGCACCTGCTGGAGGCCACAATAATGCATCCTACTATTTATCGGAAGGTTGGATTCTCCCTTCACACCCTATCCACTCACGAAGGCAGACAACAGGCCATGCAGTAGGCACACCCAAACCCACAGACTGAGTCGAGCCAGGGCCATACACAGTCACGCATCCACCATTCAGCAGCAGAACGTGTGTTGCAGAAGCGGGCTTTACGCTGCTGGTTCTCTATCCCAGGCCCACCCATCCAATGACGTGTTCTGCATATACGTTTTGTACACAACAGCAGAAGTAGCTATCCGCACACGCAGTGCCGGCATTAAATGCAGCGAACAAAACGAGGAGCCAAGGTATGGCGTACTAAGAATTTTCTGGCATTGGTGACCCAAGCCACAGCAACGAAAAACCTCCGCGCAAGAAATTCTGTACACGCTAAAGGAAAACCAATACGCATCAAAGCAGGTGTAATGCCTACAATCTGCTCTCGGATTGTCATAGTTTGGATGAAGTAGGAAGCTCCCACCCACTCTCCAACTGCTGGCATACACAACAAAGAAAACCACTGCTCCAATAGCCACTGTTGAAAACCCGAGAACACCTTTCAATAAGCACAAGCAAACCCTAGGTACAGAAAGATTTCACCTTGCCTTTGCAGTAGCAATACAGGATACCCAAATGGCTGGCTGCGTTACAGTGCACCACCTACTGCACCTGCGGGAGTAGAATACGCTTCAACACACACGGCTATTCAAACTCCACAGTGACAACTTCTCGCCACATATTAGATGGAGAGCATACAACTGCTCTGTGAAAACGATCACTAGCTGCATGCCATA